CAAACCAAACCAAACCAAACCAAACCAAACCAAACCAAACCAAACCAAACCAAACCAAACCAAACCAAACCAAACCAAGGATCTGTGTTTCAGGGGCACCAAAAGGTTGCCCTCCCTGCCTTAAACCCTGGTTTACAAACCACAATCATGCTAAGCCAAAATCAAGGCAATTATATCGCGGGCTAGCAAAAATCACAAGAACGGGGATGGGGAATTGCCAGCAGCCCCCAGACTAATTCAAACCCCCTTTGCAAGAGGTGAGTTGATGATGTGCACAGGTTGGGGGACAGGGAGCAAGAGGGTGCAAATGGCAAAAACAGCTGTGTGCTATAAGATCTGCCCCTTTTGGACATGCAGGGGGTACACGAGGGGTCCGAAACGCCAAGATGGCAGCCTCAACTATGCAACCCATGTAAAAAAGGGGTGGAGTTTTCACTGCATAGTTATGGCAACCATCTTGACTTTTTGAGCCCTTCCCAGTGGACACCCCTGTGGACTCAACACAATGTTGCCCACATCCTGATGAAACCATTGGATTCGACTTTATTCCACAGTTTGTTGCTTTAGAGAGGAAGAAGGAAAGGAATGCCGGAAATTGAAGGGGGAGCATTATAGAGAGAGAGAACCCCAACTATCTTGGGCTCTGCCCTCATCCACTCTTTGCTTCAGTCCTATCCTCCACAGACCCACTAACAGATTATCTTCCACAGATGTGGCACTCAACAGAAAAAAAGTATTGCTCTCTCCTGCTTTAGTGTGTTGGTCAAAGAGATTCCCAGAGTTTTCCAGATCCTTGATTTCTTCCAAATAATGTTTTCTGAGCTGTGAGTAGTCTCTAAGGTTTGGAGGACAAACAGGGAAGCACTTTTGATCCTCCTGAGATATGCTGAGTTCTACACAAAGGGCTTTCTTGCATCAATCCTGCCAATTCCGTCATGAAAAATAGGAATGGGTGAAAATTCAGCTCAAATCTAAATTGCTAGCCTGCTTTTTTTTACATTTTGTCAAATAAAATCACAGATGCTCTGAAAGAACACAAGACAGCCATCTTTTCTTAATTATTTGGTAGCTATTGATGTCTTCTTTGTAATTCAGAAATCTATTTGTTTGGTTTATTGTGCATTTTTAAGCACCTTCTTTGAAATAGCCTTTTTAAATAGAAATCATTTTGGGAACCAATAATGTCAACCATCTTGAGAAAGCAGAACTTGCACATTCGGATCACGATTCTTCATTGTCACCTTGTTTTCAGTTGCGGGAGATGGAAGCAATCAAATGTTGATCGATCCCACTTCTGTAATTCACCCTGTTCTTGACTATCTCCATCCAAAGCCAGGCATTCTCCTGAAGGCCAAGGTCACTTAATCTGTCAGTAGTTGTCTCAGAGCAATCCAGGTCAGGGATCCCTCCATTAATTTTCTGTATCTCAACTGATCATGGGGTGCATTGTTGCAACCATAAAGAACAAAAAGAAATCTAAGAAAACTAATTATGCCAAAAGTTATCTTTGGTATACATGTATTTACTAAGATGGGGTATGAGATTATTTCATGTTTTTGTACCTGTTCAGAGTTTACCTGTTTGAAGTTGGTGACAGAACTAAGAAAAGTCTCATAATGAAGCAGTGTGGCATAGGGCTGAAGATAGATTGCATTGGCACTGTGGAGATCTAGGTTCAGGTTTGCTGCCTATTGAATTTGGGTTCTTATAGGATGTTTGATGTGGGGATTTTTATGTAGTTCACCTTGAGTTCTGATGAAGATTGTATCTCTCTTATAGTGGAATATAAAAGTCATAAAGAAAGAGAACAACATGCTACTGAGGAAGTTTGGAAATTCTACCATGTTGGGTGTGGGCAAGGCCAGGGAAGGTGACAAGCCATTATGAATGGTTGTGGTGGAATGCAATCAAAGTTCTATCCATGTGAGTGGATGGACTGGAAGACCAACTCTGGTCTTCTTTGCTATGTGATGCCAGATGTAGAAGAGGCAAGGAAGCATTCAAAGAATTTGGCTTGTGACTGGGAAGGCTGAATGTTTGTTCTGGTGAAAGGATGCACCTGACGACATGCAGCATAACAAGTCTGGAGGGAAGATGTATCTATGAGCTTCTTTAAGGAGAAATGCAGGCAACAAGACTTACGCTAGCATTAGTTTTATCACTTCCACCTGAAGAAACGCTCCATCTTTTCATAGCCTAAACATATAAGAGAAAATAGGGTGGGTTTTTCCCCCTTTCAACCAACATTGCTAGGCTGGCATATACGGAGGTGTCAAAGATGGTGGATATACCTGGAAACTTATTGAAATAAAAGAAACAGGGGAATAAACAATTGGGAGTATTTTCTCTTAAACACATTGCATTTAAAGGGTACTTGGCCACCAATATCTGGTTTGAGAAACCAGCACCAGGATTATCGATATCCAGAGTACAGTAGAGATAATTAAGCTCAAAGATATCAATGTGATCTACATAATATTGGGTACAAACGCCCAACCACAGAATTGTTTTTCTGGCTGCTCCCCTGAAGAGATTAGTATTGGCCAGATAGCTTTAGAAGTTTATTCAAAGAAGAAGAACATTTCTGAGAAATCACCATAGGTGAATGGTCGGTGTTCTGGCACTTAGGGAAGAGGGAATGTCCTATTTTTTTATTGCACAATCTTATCTCCAGCTTTCTGCACCCTCTAGGGCTTCCACACTTCCAATAAATCCCCAGGGAAGGCATCAATAGAAAACTTCTCCCATGGACCCTTTTCAGTAGTGGTGGTACCATCAACACCAAGAGAGAATCCTGCCCTTCTAAAACCGTTGGCAATTTTCTCCTTCACTTTGGGAGCTTCAGAGCAACTGCCTCCCTGGTTTTGTTTCCACAATCTTAGATAGAGAGTTTCAAAAAGCCATTTGCACCCAGCTCTACCAGAGCTCAGGAACTTCCAAGTAGGAAAATACTTACCTTACTATCCATTGGGGGAGATTCCTTCTCTTTCTCTGCATGCTGCAGCTTCCGGTTCAAATCTTGGAACATATCTTGATGACGTTTTCTTGTGTGCATGATTTTCTATAACAGAGAACATCCAGATAAGTCAAGGGTTTTTGGTTTCACGGGAAGCAAAGGAACATTGTACACATTTAAGTGTCCGAATGACCTCACAACCAATCCTTCTCCCAATCTCCCCTTTTCAGTTTTTTTTTTTTAAATTATTTATTGAGCGGCCAAGTAGAAAATCTGTTCCTAACTACAGTTTATTCTGAAGAAGCATAAAATCTAAAAGGGAATTGCATTCCAGTGTGCGTGTTATTCCAGAAAGTTCAGATGAAACCCTTCACTTTGAAATGGGGATGAAGCTACAACTTCAAGCAAATCACCCAGCCTTTATTATTGAAACAAAATGCTCACCTCAAAATCTAGTTCTGCATACCGTGATTTCCGCCTCTGAAAATTAAAGGAAGAGGAAGACCGATTATTAACACTTGGCAAGGGGTTCAGTACATCATATGAGAGGATTTACACTTTGGTCACACATTAGGGACACGTTTGGGAGCCAGCAGGGTGTAGCGGTCAGAAAGTTGGATAAGAGAGGAGAGACTCAGATTCAAATCTGCTTTCAGCCACAGAAGCTCATTGGGTGGCAAAGCCAGTCAACATTTCTCGGCCCAACGTTCTCTACAGAGTTGTGGGAGAAACAGAGAGGAGAATGCAACGTACGGCACCCTAATCTCATGAAGGAAAGTTAAGTACAAATCAAGTCAATCGATCAAGATTTCTTCCTACTAGTCTGTTGGCACTGAGGAACATCCATTCCAAGAGGCACCACTACATTTTTCCGTGGGTTTTCTCCATTAGGTGCTGTAATTCATGTAACATATGGTTCACCCTTCCTGTTTTTCCATCCACATTGCCAACCACACTGGGCTGACAGTACACTTTCCCTATTCCGTGTCACTTCTTATTTTCAGGAAGAAAGTGAAACAGTCCAGCCTTTATGTAGCCTACCAGCTGATGCCTGCAAGCAAAGAGTTCTCCTAAAAGCCTTCTTAAGTGACAGAGCCTGAGTGTTCCTCAGTCCAGCTAACCATTCTGTCTTCAAAACCAATCTAGCATAGTTATTTTGGGTTGCTCCGTAAAGTTTAAGTAACTGCACAATGGATGTCACTAGTGTCATGGCCCAGGACTCAGACTCTGACTCTGAATAAGCTGCTCCAGCTGAACCTTGGGGTGTCAGCCTCAGGAGACACCAAGGCAAGAATCACTGGAAGCCAATCAAACACAGGCACTATCAGAATAGCTGAAGCAGTCAGATGATGAGGCACGGCCCCCAAGCCCTCAGACTCAGTGAATAGAGCAGAGAGCAGAACAAAGATGCTCAATGAGACTTCTTGCCCAGCAAGGGGGAAACTATCTTAACTGAAGATAGGTGGCTGCAGCCTGATTTAAGAGGCAGCCCTGATCCATGTTTCTCTGTTGGAAACAACTGTCTGATCTCCTGCTCTGCTGTGTCATTCCTGTGAATCCTGCTCATGAAATTCTGACCTTGGACTGGCTGACAAACCTGACTTGGCTCTCTGAACTTCAGACTGCATTTTGACTTCTCTTCTATGCGCTCCTATTGAAAGCAAAACCACCCAGGCAAGCTTTCTTTCCAAGAGACTTTGTTGATTTACATTCCTTCCCTTGTCTCCTGTTATCTGCTCAGCCTTGAGTAAATTGCTATTCTCACCTAGCAACTCTGTGTGTGTGACAGTTTGAAGCCTGAAACAGGACAACTAGGCTACGGAACTCCTCATTAGCTAGGAACAGGGCTGCAAACATACAGGCTACACCTAGATGGAAGCAAAAAGATACAGAAAAATCTCTTTGCTACTATCTAGTGGTCATCTAGATGTTTGCAGTCCAGAATCTAGTGGCTAAATTGTAGCATAGGAGTTAACAGAGAAGCCCACACCAGCCATTAATTGTCAGCCAGCCGCTAACATGGTCAGATCTCTTTGCTGGTGCTTCTGGCAGCCCACAACCAATCTAACTAGGTTAAAAAAAAATCATAATTTTCAGAATACAAAGTCCCCACACACTGCTGCCCCAAGAGAGTACTGGCAAAGCTTCATGATATCTAGTGGGCAGGAGGATAGCAATGGGCAGGCCCTGGCAACCTCAGCCAATCAGTGTTTGAAGGGTATCTTCAGTACTGCTGAGCTTTGGTGCTGAGGGTGGCAATGGAGGGGTCACTTTTTAGTTATCCTTGATTTCCTGGTCTTTTCTTGGAGGACTACAAGACTAGAGATGCAACTGACTTGGGTTGAAGGATCCCCACAACAGACCTGAGGGGTGAAGTCTGTTGAAGTATCTGTATGACTAGATTGGCCTTCAGTTGAATTTTATCCTTTGGGATTTGGTTGACCAGATCAATTAACCTTTTCTGGTGTTCTCATCACACACTTAAACCATGGTCCCAACTCAGTTATGCACACTGTGGGAATAACACCACTGGTATGTTTGCATTTACAACACTCAGATCAGTTACTGAATTAACTAAATTGAACCATAAACAACATTGAACCGTAACCTAACATTGAGCTGTAAACTAACCAAACAGCCTAAGTAAAACAAAACAAAACAAAACAAAAAGACCCAAAACTACCCTACTCCAACACCACCTCCAAACAAATCTAATCAGGATTAATCCTAACCAAGCTTGACTTTAACTGAGGAAATGCATAGAATCATAAAATGCAAGAGATGGGTCACTGGAGGTCATCATGTCCAACCCCTTGAATATATTGTGTTATGGTTAGAACTCAGCCCCTGATTACTTGCCTTGGCAGCAGCTGAAGCGGGCAAAAGAGTAGGAGCAAGGACCATTGCCTTTGTTCCCACCACCAGGGAAGGCTGAGAGGGCATTGCAAATGCCCGAAGCATGGGGTCCTCGAACTGGAGAAACCCAACAGACATCTACCTAGGCTTCCAGAAGAAACATCTATTCCAATAAGACTGGGCCATATTTCATCCCCAGAAGCATCCCGATTCCTGCATCACTGGGCCAGCATGGTTACGTGATTCTGGGGCTGAGATTTACATCCTGCTGGGATGATAACTGAAGATACTTGGAACTGAGATGATATTTGTGTGGGTAACACAGAAAGATGCTGCACAGGTCATTCTTGTCCCTTGAAGGACAAGTAGGATAGATAAGTAGGAAAATTAGTAAGTGTAAAATAATTGGGAAGCATGTTACACGTATAACAAATGAAGGTCATTAATGAAGGTCATTAATAAGAAAAAAAAATCCATTCTAGGACAGGGATGGGCAATCCAACACTCTGAGATTCCAGAGACTGCTGGAATTCATTGACAAAATGCCTGAATGTTGATGACACAATTTCAGCATATAAACAAACAAACAAACAAACATTCTGGGGTGGTTTCAACAGTGGAATTAGGGATGATTTATCACTGGGAGGCCTCACACTTCCAAACCCACCTCTTAAAACCAACAGTGCAAATTCTAGCAAGCTCCTCCACTTTGAATCTTGTCTCAAAATAAGACTGCACACCATTGTCTTAAGTCATCTATCCTATCCCTAGTATCTAGGCTTTTTTTAAAAAATAATTGAAAATAGCAAGAATTGAATTTAGGGTGTTCTGCAACCAAAGTATGGATAAGATCACCAACTTTCAGCCACTTACTTCAAGGGAGCTCATGGAGAGGGTGGAGACTGTCTCACTCTTGGTCACGATTCCAGTGTTACTGGGCTTGCCCGTGTCACACAAGCTGTTTGGCATCTGTGAGTCAGTGGATTTATTGACCAACGGAGGAGACAACTGTTGCTGCTGCATCATCGAGGAAGCCTGCACTTCCCCACAGCTGATCCCTGCAGGCTCCCTCGGGGGGCTCTTGACCACAAAGCCTGGATCTGTGGCCATGCTGAGGTGGATCAGCCTCGTCTGTGGCATCTGGTCAATGTTGATGCTGTACTTTGTATCATCCTTGGGTGGTGGTGGTGGCGGTGGCGGCGGCGGTGGCTTGGGCCGCAAGGTGGAAGTGTTGGTGGGCAGAATGACATAACTGGTGTCTCTAGTTTGATCCTGTGCCCGCGAAAGCTCAGAATCCAGCTTTTTGAAGATATCCCCATCACAGATGTAAATTGATTTGGGAGGCTGGCTCTTGTCCTTTTTCAACGTAAGTGTGTGGTTGTTGAAGTCATTGAGATTGATGGCTCCCAGGTAGTGTGGGGAGCTCTGGAGATGCATTTTGGAGACATTGGCTGGAAGACTGTTGAAGTTTGAGGAACCCTTCTGGTGGTTCAGCTTTAGCTTCTCCTCATCCTGCAGTGATGGACGCTTCAGGGTCCCTGTGATGGTCACGGTGCGGCATGCGCTGATGTCTTTGTTGAGCACTAACAAATCGGGGGAAAGAGATGCAATTTCAGGAGATGCTACCGAAACCGTTATGCTACACAACCACACCTCTCCCTTCATTCTGTGCCAAAGCACAGGTTTCCTAATCAGGTTATAACTTCACTGTCACCCAGTGCCCCAAACACGAATGATCGTGCTCCCCCCATGCTCACCCACAGCCTCCAGTAGTGGAATAACATTACATTTGACTTTCCACAAATTCATTGTACAAGAACAGTGGGAGGGAAGGATCTATCTGGTTTTTAACGCACCTGCCATAATAAATATATTTCAAATTAATCTCAAAGTCCCTCAACCACCCAGGTAAAATTACAAATGTAAATAAATTAAAAACACAAATGCACATACAATAATTTATACATTCTCTAGGGATGCGGTGGTTTAATCTGCAGTTTGATTACTGATGCAAACATTGTACTTCTGCTGATATAAATAATGTTTGAATCTACTCAATTTGATTTATATTGGGCAAAGTAGCTGAGAAGCAGCTGGATGGGGGCCCCCTTAGATAAACCGCTTATGTGGGAAACGGTAATCCAACTGAATGCACAACATTTTGCACCGTATCTGTTCTCTGTGCTTGAAATGGTAAAGATTTGTGGCAACATGACAATTCCTTCCCTGCACACCATTTCACAGGGCCCTGGGAGTGGATGTAAATTTGAAAGGGGATTTAAATCTATCCAAAAGAGGCTTTTGATAGAAAGCACAAATGTTTTGGCTATTTCAACAGGGGGAGGGGTTAGTTATTTGGAGAAAATACGCATGTTAAAAGAATACTAGGAAAATTCATGAATCTATGGAAAAATCTGGAATCAGACCGTCTAATATCTAGTAATACAACACATTTGAAAGCTGCATTCAAGAAAGAGGAAGGGTCCTATACATCTCAAATATTCTGATGGGCGAAAGCAAACTTCTTTCTCCTGCTTTATATCATTCGTTTCTAAAAAGCGGTTGGATAAAATTATAGCTGGCTGATTGCCTTTTTAAAAAATTTCTTTTCAACTCTGGCACGATCTTCTACTAGCAATAAAGTTGATAGATTTCGCTGAAACTAGACTCTTTGGCATTTCTGTTTTACTGTCAGTTGGATTAATAGTTTGTCTTCTCTTCCAAGAACTCAAGAGATCTTCCATGACCAGGTAGACTGGACTGAGAGAGAGTGGCAGACCCACTCTCCCAGTGAGTTTCTTTGTGACGATGGGCTTAAATGGTGCAGAGGGGTCAGAAAATTCAAGACTGCAGCCACGGCCATGCCATGCTGGCCACCATCTTGACATTTTTTACCCCTTCCTTCAAAGATGCCCCTGAACATTTACCTTAAGACTTGCAGACCTTCCTTTCCTACCATTTTATGTAATCCCAACAAAAATTATATTATTAGCCTGGCTAAACTTTTCTACTGGCCTGCATCCAGCATCATTCTAGGCATTCTGGGAGAAAATTGGCAGTGGCCACCAAACCTTTTTTTGGGCAGAGGGGAGTTAGGGATAGGAAAAAAAGAAAGAAAAATAGCACTGTTTTTTTTTTTTTTTTGAAGAAATGCATTTTGCAAAACTCCAGCTCAGCTTTAGAAAAGTGCTTGCAAGGAGGAGAACCAGAGATGTGTAGGAAGGAAAGACTGAAAAGCGAAAAGCGAAGGCGACAATGTTGGAGAAGAGAGAGAATTGCAAACTTGAGATTAGCACATTTGATTAGTGGATGTCACTTGAAGGCAGGAGAGAAAGCAAGAACAATTCAGAGTCCCTCAAATTAAGTCTTGAAAGAGTGGGACTGCAATAAACCATTTCCATTTAAAGGGAATGAAGGAATTCAGTTTATTTATTTATTAAATTTGTCACCGCCCATCTCACTGAAACGACTCTGGATGGATTACAGCAGAGATAAAATTCATTAAAATCCAATATGAAACAATCCTAATAATAAATAACTTTCAAGAAAGATGGAGAGTTGGTGACTAATTCAAGGGAGCATTGTCAGGGTGCTAACCACCCCCAAGGACAGAGAGCTCATATTGCCCCATGCACACTGGCAGAGCCAGGTCTTTAATCCTTTTTGGAAAGCCAGGAGGGTAGGGGCCTGCCGCACTTCTGGGAGGAGAATATTCCAAAAGGTGGGGGCTACGGCAGAGAAGGGCCTCCTTCTGGGCAGTTCCCTACCCATTGTAATGGTCTGTGAAAATGACCTTGGGAGACAGGAGGAAGAGCCGTAGACTGGACAACCATCGTGCAAAAGGCATCTCAGCCCACAGAAGGAAAAGGGGTGTGGGAAGCATCTCAGAAGGGACCCTCCCTTGTTTTCTGGAAAGTAAAAGTAAAGGAGGGGAGAAATGCTTTCGGACTACCAAGATTCTGTTACTGTAACCTTAAAATAAAGGTGACTTTAGTACTCATGCTTTGTGCTTCTTGGCTGGACCATCTTGAAGGACTGGCATCAATCCTGCTAGTCTGAAAGCACTTCTCTCCTCCTTTACTTTTATTTTCCAGAAAACGAGGGAGGGTCCCTTCTGAGATGCTTCCCACACCCCTTTTCCTTCTGTGGGCTGAAGTACCTTTTGCCCATTGGTTGTCCACTCTACGGATCTCCCTCCTGTCTCCCAGGGTCATTCCCACAAACCATTATGCCCATGAAGCTGCTTCTCATAGAATGGAAGAAAGCTGCTACTGGCATTTAACTCAGACACCATCTGGTCAGCTTCAATGCAAAGCATAGTCACAAACTGGAGGCAAGTTGCCAGCACTCAGCATAGCCTTTCTGGCTATTTCCAGAGGAAAGACGTAAAGATAAGCAGCTTCTAACTTCTTGCAGGTCTGAGTGTGTGTTTGGGCCACCAAGGGCTGTGGTTATGTGATGGAATGGACTTATGAAGGCCAGGCTCAGGGAGATAAGCGTGTTCTTAGTTCACCGCAAGAGCATGGGAACTACAAGAGGATGAGGCTGGCACCTCCCTGAGGAATTCACAGTGTTGTGGCTGGCTGGGTTTGGGGGCGGGGGTTAGTTTTGGGGGGGTTTTGCTTG